GGACCTTTGGTCTCTAGAGTGCAGTACTGGTTCTGACTAGTGACAAATATGTGAAGATACAGTGCGGACAGTACTGGAAGCTCCTGGGATGGCACAAGGGACACTGCTGTTACATGAACTGCACTGGTTGCCAGTTTGCTTCCAGATCCAATTCAAAATGTTGGCCATTACCTTTAAAGCCCTTTATGGCAGGGTTCCAGGGTATCCGAGGAACTGCCTTACCTTGTTGAGATTAACCTGCCCCATTTGTTCCAGCACAAAGAGCTACTTCTGAACCTGTCAGCCAAAGAATTTCTGTTGGCAGGATTCAGGAGGAGGAGGAGAACCTTTTCTGCTGTGGCCCCCACCCTCTGGAATATTCTCCTGTCAGAGATGAGATCGGCCCCCACACTCCTGGCCTTCTGGAAGAACCTAAAAATTTGGCTCTGCTGCCGCTACATTGGTGATGGCTGATGGGATAGAGAAGATTCTCTCTTCCACAGGCTGCCCATCATCTGGGTTTCTAATTTTAATTTTTAACTTTTTATTCTATTTTAATTTGGTTTTTTTCACTTCTTTTATATTGTAAGCTGGCCACAGTCATTGTATTGTTGAGATGGGCAGCATATACATTCAATAAATAATAAGATACATTTGTGGATACCTCTGTTACAAATAGGTATTTCATGTTTTTCAAAGCTTGCTATGAATAGTATATGGAATTCAAGTTTTCCACATTAACCAATTTGCCTGGGTTTGCTTCTCAGACAGGAGTATAAGTCAACTATTCTGGTGGGACTCATACAATGCCTGAAGCCATGAATTAGCTGACCACATTTGAACTTCGCTGAACCCAGACAGTCTGAAGTGAAGTCTGTCCATTTTTAAGAACCAAACACAACCAGTAGCTTTCTTAATAATAAGTGGTTTACCACTGCTGACTTTGAGACAGTGACAGAGAATTGAGCTATGCACATTGTACATATCCTAAGCCCCTATTGTCTGTGAACTCTCACCTCATTCAGAAAACAACATGAAGTGAATTGGAGTTTTGCTGCCACTTTATTCAGGATTTTAGTAAAACAAAACCTCAAATTACACAAAAGAACTGTAATCACATTCTTGCACATAGAAATACAGCTTTCCTTCAAATTCTACCTAATGTGGGGAGGTTGGGGCAGGGAATCTTAACTCTTAAGAGCAGCCCTATTTTTCATTGTGTCCTACATGCATTTGGTTCCAGCCAGAGCAGGGCTTCTGTCAAACTTTGGATCTATTAGGCTCTTGAGGGTCTTTTCCAGTGCCTAGCTGAGGTTTTCCATCCTTGGCAGAAAAATAATTGGTGTGGAAATTGCCATTTCCATTGCTGATCCCGTCCTGCCTCTATCGCACATCATTGCCCCCAGCTGGTTTCCCTCCAGATTAACAAGCATTGTAGACTAACACATTGTCTCACTTTGAAGCTGCCTTTGGTCAGTATTGGGAATAAGAGATAAGTAGCACTTTAATAAGAGTTCAGCTAAGGCTGGTTTAATTCACGGTTGGAAATGGGTTGAAGATAATCTCACAGAGACATAACAAAGAAAAAAAATGTTGGTGGGAAGCATGTACTATAGGAAAAAAAAGTTTGAATAATACAGGTAATCACAAGTTAGCCAAAGAGCACTGGTTTGCATTCTATTGCTAGTTTTGCTTGGGACCAAAGAGACCTATTTTAAAATTATTCATTTCAAATGATAAATGCAAAAGAAAACCCCAAAGATATGTGTTTTTCTAATAGAGGCTAGAATTTAGATTTGCTCCCTTTGGGAAAAGACATAGTTTGCATTTATCATACATGAGTGCAGTGTTGATCTTTGGGATTCTCCATGCTTTATTACAGTAAATGGCAGTGAGCGTTTGAACATCTGCTGCCATCATTGGAATAAAAAGTATGTGCTTCATTGGCAAAGTGGTCTGAGAAGCAGGACTTTTCTACCAGCTCTAGGCCAGTATTTCTCTTAAGTATAGAACACTGGGATCCAGCAGATTGTCCATTCATCCAACCAAGATTCAAAGGCCAGAAGCTCACTACTTCAGACTCCTCCATTCTGTGTATATCCTGGCAGTAATTTAACTCATAATAAATCAGTGACTGGAAACTGGTTCACTGAAGCACACAAGATGAAATACAGGTAATAATATGATTTCTAAAATTCAGAAAACTGAACAGGGCTTGAATGTCCTGTTATTAACCAAACTCATCTGTGCTAGTCTAAAGGAAATTGTGATCTTGCACAAAAACCCCAAAAGAAAAGTGCAAGTTGGAAATAAAAGGATGGATATTAAACAATGGTATCTCCATTCACCTCTAGCCCCTCAATATTTAGAAAAGTCTGTTAAAGAAATTTCTGGCCAGATTAGGGCAAAGAGTTATGACATGGCGTACATAAAACAATTTAAGTGCAAATATTTAATTTAGGATTACATTTTGGTTCAACATTTACTTTTAAAAGACCCTTAAATGGGGATGAGAAAGCATACATAAACAGAACTAGAATTGGCTTTTTTTGTCCAAAAATGAATTGTTTTCTTAAAACTAAACAAACCACTTCCGTATTTTTTTTCTGACAGCTATTTTTGAAACCCGCTTTTTCTAATCGCTGCTTTCCCATATCTCTTTGTCTCTTCTCTCAAAATTCTAGTGACTTTTACCAAAATCCCTTAGTAGTTCTAGTGAAGCAGCTCCATTAAATTTCTTATAATTCAAAATAAAAACAATAATAATCTACATCACTATATTGGTTTATTCTATAGGTACAGTTGTTAAGTGAATCACTGCAGCTGTTAAGTTAGTGACACGGTTGTTAAGTGAATTTGGCTTCCCCATTGACTGCTTGTCAGATGGTCACACAAGTGATCACATGACCCTGGGACACTGCAACCATCATAAATATGAGTCAGTTGCCAAGCATATGAATTTTGATCACGTGACCATGGGGATGCAGCAATGTGTGAAAAACTTTATAAGTCACTTTTTTTAGTGCTGTTGTAATTTCGAACGGTCATTAAATGAACTGTTGTAAGTCAAGGACTACCTGTATTAGCTTTTCTACCATGGGCATGGAGAAAGATATTGAATCAGTTTCCCATCCAATTTACCAGCTTCCTCAAGAGAAAAATCTTCAGCCATCAGCTCCATGAGCTGTAAACAAATTTTCAAATGCCTCCTTTATATGGTAAAAAGATATTTATCAATCCTTCCATTTCCCATAATTCAGTCAGAACTTGGATAAGAAGCTAAACATTTTCAAGGAATAAGCCAAGAAAATCCAGTTGCCATTTGGAAAAGCATCTTTGTGATAACTATGACCTAAATGACTGAGTATCTCCATAGATGCTCCTTTATGCTGGTTGGGACTTTTTGAATGCCTGATTATTATGTGAAAGGGAAGGTTGGCAAACAGTAGACCAATCATCACCATCTGCCTGCCTGCCTGCCTGCCTGCCTGCCTGCCTGCCTGCCTGCCTGCCTGCCTGCCTGCCTGCC